ACAGATTTTACTACTAGTACATACTGGCAGCTCACAGTCATCTGTAACTCCAGTTACAGATGGGTACAATTACTATAGGGTATCTGATGCCCTCTTCTGGACTTAACAGGCCCCAGAAATGCATATAGGCAAAACACACACAGACACACACCCATACACACCCCTTAAGATCTTAATTATAATCATATATAAATTTTATATGTGTTGGCTTGAAGACCACACTATGACTAGCAGGGCTTTAGCTAAGTCAGTGTAGAAAGGCAAGTCTTGGAGGCAGGCTTCTCTGAGAGGGGGAAGGTGTCCAGTGGCCCAAGAGGATCTTGGGAGTGTGTTGACAGCAGGTGTCCCTACAAAGAAAGGAAGCAGAGCTGGCAGAATAAGGATGGATGAGGGAGGCCACAGATGAGAGATAATTGCTTATTATTCTAGCCTGAACATTTTTTGGGGTGGAGGATTTCAAGACAGGGTTTCTCCTTGTAGCCCTGGCACTTGTTCTGTAGACTAGGCTGGCCTTGGACTCAGAGATCTGCTTGCCTCTGACTAAAGTCATATGCCACCACTGGCTGGCTCATATCTTTTACAATCATATTTTTTTGAGAAGCTTAGGCCCTGTTGGCCTAGACTTGCCATGTAGCTGAGGATGACCTTGACCTAATTTTCCTTCCTCCACCTGGAAAGTGCAGGGATGACAGACCTGATCTACCATGCAAGAACTGTGTCATACTGGAGCTAGTTATGAGCCTCTGTGTAGGTGCTAGGAGTTAAAAGCAGGTCCTTTAGAAAAGCAGCCAGAGTTCTTAGCTGGTGAACCATCTCTCAGCTCCGTTCTTACTGCTCCTGTCTGGGGTGGAGCTGGGGCAAGCATCCTGTGGTTTGCAAGGTTTAAGATGGGGAAGCAAGTGGCCTGTATCCTGGGCTTAGACTGCTTTCACTATTTTGTGACGGAGCCAGCAGCCACACAGTGTGATCCAAAGACGCCTGGTGGAGGGAAACCAGAGGCGGCTTCAGGGGGAGTCTCCCCTGCTGCAGGCCCTGATCCGTGGCCATGACAGCAGCAGGACCGGTGCAACACAGGTTCCAGCTCTTCTTGTCAACTGCAAGGTAAGAAGTCTCCCAGTGTCAACTTTCTTGTTAAGCCTGCCCACTTCACAAGCTCTTCCTTCTGCCTTGGCTGTCAAGAGATGGAGAGGAGGTGTTTCTCTCATTTTCTGGACCGGCATCTACTTTTCTCTCTGTCTTGTGTATCTCCTCTGTGTACTGCCAGCCGTCCACACCGTTGTTATACTATGCCCCTATGCTTTTACCAAATTATATTTAAATGTACATTTCCTTTTCTGTACTGCACACATTGGAAAGGTACGCATGTGTACAAAAGGCTCATGTTCCAAGGCGAAGAAAAACCTTAGGCTATGTATCTTTGTGATGTTGTGTGTCTTTGTGATGTTGTGTGTGTGCCCCTGCGCCTGTGCGCACACACTGGCCACGAGAGGCTGTTGTATTTTCTGGAGCTGGAGTTGTGAGCTGCCCAGTCCAGTGACTGAACTCAGGTATTCTTGAAGACTGGCAGATGCTCTTAACCACAGAGCCATTTCTGTGGCCCCAAGGTTCCTCATCTCTAGAGCCACTGGAGCACCCGCTTGCTGGTGGGACAGGCCCAGTAAACGCCCACTGCCTCTCTGCCCAGAACTCTTCCTTCCTAGTCTCCATTCCTTTGTCCACATCATTTTTTAAGGTCCACCTCTGATGCTGCCTCCTCCTTGAACTTTTCTCTGTCCAGCAAGGAACAGCTAGCTCCCTGTCCTCCGAGGCATGCTATTCATGGTCCTTCTACAGACCTTACAATGTTCCACCATGGAATGAAGTCACACTTCATCTCCAACACTGCCAAGGAATGGCACTCATTAAAGTATCTATGAGCCATATATCTCACACAGTAGATGCTCAATAAATATTTGGAACAAAAATCAATTTTTTGTGTGTGTGTGTATGTACCTAGATGCTCACCTTGATGCCTGTCAATACCCTAAGGCAGTGAACTTGTCTCCCTGGTTCCATTCTTGGTCACCCAAATCTGAGTGTCCAGAGAAGAGGTTTGCCTTCTTAGCCCTCTCCTCCAGATTGTAGCTCTTTAACTAGGAGGCCTTCAGATTCCTCTAAACAAATAGATTGCCATTCTGGCCCAGATCTTTCTCAACTTAATGAACTCACCTTGTGGAAGTGTGGAGTATGACTTCCTTGATTGGTTTTTGGGAGAGTCAGTTTCACTTCTGAAGACTCGGTCATCCCCTCATCTCTTAAAGGGAAACATTATAGAGGCCAGCAAGTTGAGAGTTCCAACCCAGTTCCCTCCTGGGGGACTCATTAACTTATCACAAACCTTCTTTCTTAGTGCCAGGACCAAATGCTTCGAGTGGCCGTGGACACAGGGACCCAGCACAATCAGATATCTGCGGGATGCCTCAGGCGCCTGGGGTAAGAGTGCAGCCTGAGCACAGTGAATGGCGTTTCCCTCCCTTCCCCCATCCCCTTTTTGTTTTTTGATACAGGGTTTCCCTATGTAGCCCATGTTGGCCTCAAATTCAACCACCTTTTACCTCTGTCTCCTGTGTGTGGATTTGTGTTGACACTCCAGGCCACTGAGTTTTGGGGTGTGGTTTCTTTCTGGGGTGATGAAATATCTTCAAAGTATCTAGTGAAGATGGCCACTGGTGACTCATGTCTGTACCTAGCATCTGGGGGCAAACAACTAGGATTCCAAGGTCAATCTTGGCTATCTAAGATATCCGAGACAGTCTAGGCTCCACAAGACTGTTTCAAAAACCATATCCTCTCCCCACCAACCCAAACAAAACCAACAACCAAGAGTGAACTTGATGGCACACAAACTATATCTCAGTACAGCTCTTCTGTCTTCTTTAACTGGGGGAGGTTGGTCAGGCAGCTCTGTCTGGCAGGAAACAGCTGAGCCTTACCTGGGTCAAGGACTGGAAAGACAGCCTAGATCAGTATTAGCAATTTTTGTTTGTTTGTTTTTGAGAAAGAGTTGCTCTGTGTAATAGCCCTGGACTCATCTTGTAGACCAGGCTGGCTTCCAACTCACAGAGATCTGTCTCTGCTTCCCAAGTGCTGGGATTAAAGGCCTGTACACTATACCTGGACTTTTTTTTTTTTTTAATTGTATTGGCTTTTTAACTTGGGGCTGGGGGCAAGAGGCTGAAATTGGAGACTGTGGTGGCTATAACCCTTGCTTTCTAACCACAGGTTAGGAAAGAGGGTCCCAAAAGCCCCAGGTGGAGATCTGGCACCTGGGCCACCAAGTCAGGTAGAACAGCTGGAGCTAGAGCTGGGGCAAGAGACGGTGGCGTGCTCAGCCCAGGTGGTGGGTAAGTCCTCTCACCTCTTCCACCTCCCCTCAGAGTGGTTTCAGTTCCTGTCAGTGCGTGCTCCCAATATGCACAGATTAGTGCCATTCTGATGATCTCAGCTGTGGGGGTGGACCGGACCAGAGAGGGGGGAGTGCTCAGAGGAGGGTGGCAGTGGTCATAGAACCAACCTTGTCTTCCATTGGTTCCTGCAGATGTGGACAGCCCTGAATTCTGCCTGGGACTGCAGACTCTGCTCTCTCTCAAGGTAAGGCATCCATGCCTGGGCCTGACTCAAAGTGCTAGGACAAGTAGAAGGCTCAGGGTGGAAGCCCCATCAGCCTCGCTAGTCCGACAAGACTGAGAGATGTTAAAAACTCAGAACTTGCTTAATTATCCCCAAAAGGAAAATGAAATGGGTTCCCTCCCTGAAGGGGCATGGGAGCAGTGGGAGGCAGAAGGGAGCAGGTGTGAGCTGGCCCAGAGGTGACCACACATCCGCGGTCCCCACGGCAGTGCTGCATTGACCTGGACCGTGGAGTACTTCGGCTGAAAACCCCCTTCTCGGAGCTGCCCTTCCTGCCTCTGTACCAAGAGCCTGGCCAGTGACCACTGTCTCAGCCAGTCCCTAGGGCGACACCGTGCCTTAGGGGAGAGTGTGGAGTGGGTATTACCTGAGCAGGGCATCTGGAGACCACTGCATTAATCTCTTTCTCCACTACCCTGATCCTGCAGTCGGCCACCTCCCTCTCTGCTTCTCCATTGCTGCCCTCTGCCCTAGGAATTCCTCCAGAGAGTATCTGTGACTCTGAGGTCCTGGCTTCCCCATTCTCTCTTATCCCTCTCAAGTGCACAACCAAGTCACTTATAGAAAAGGACCTCCAGGAAATGGGATTTAGACTTCACCCTGGCTGTGGGGGTCAAAGTTACCTGCTGCCTCCGCCAGCCTGAAGCCCACCCCAAGCTGGCCCTCCTGACAAATGGCCCTTTGATCCTGTACCCATCTGCTTTCAGCTGGGTGGGGTGACAAGTATGTGAGACTTGGTCTAGGAAGGTAGAGTCCCTGAGCTGAGGACCTGTAGTCAGTACCCTTTCTGGGTGGCAGATGTCTGAGTGTCTTTCTGGCTGGGCTGACTCTCAAATCGTGGTTAGGGGAAGAGAGACAATGATTTATCTAACCCAAACCAGGGAACTGGGCCCCTTACATGGGAACTGAAGACAAAGCCTACGGTAGACCAAAGAGGAACTGGCACACAGTTGTCACCTTCTCACTTCTAAGAGTGCTCTGAGTGCAGGGCTCCAGGTCTTGATTCTGACTTCTTCCCTCATCCAGTGCTTTGAGACAAGCTTCCTCTCAGTCTGCCTCCTACTGCTCCATTAACGGCAGACCAGCCAATGGTAGGCCCTTAGCCTGCTTTTGCATTTGAATAAACACAGCTTCTCTAAGTGGGTGTTCTGCTTTGGTCTCTTCCTCCTCACCTGAGCTCACAGTACCTCTGTCCTCAGGCGCATAAGGAACCTGAGCTGGAAACAGCCTGTGAAGTACACTTTACACCGTATGAGCTGTACAAATATACATGCAGTTGTAACAAATAAGTATCACCTTCACTGTAATGTAAATACTGGACTCTGACATTCTCCATTTTCTTTTACTTTATTCATTTAGTTCAAAAGCCCTAAGTGCTGGGGAGATGGCTTAGTGGGGAGGAGCATTTGCCATGGGAGCATGAGATCCTGACTCTGAGACTTAACACCCATGTAAAAGGGTTCAATTCTCAGCACCCACATGGCAGCTCACACCTATTTCTCTGTTAACTCCAGTTCCAGGGCTTTTGATACCCTTACAGTCATAAATACAGGACACACACACACACACACACACACACACACACACACACACACACGCTGTTTAGATGCTCGCAACCCTAGTACTGTGTGATGCAGACACAGGTAGATATCTGTCTTAATACTTGTCTTAATGATCAGCTAGCTACATGAAACAGCAAGCTTCAGATTCAATGAGATACCACTCCGTCCCAAGGGAGTAAATTGGAAGGAAAGAAAGCAGGAGCCTAGACATCCTCTTTTGGCCCCTACATGTGTGTATATCTGTAAATGGATCTGCACACAGGACACACACATTTTAGCCACAATACAAAGGATTCTTAGTTATAACTGGAAAAATACTTAGAGCACACAGAATAAGGATCAAAGAAAACACAAATGGATTACACACGTGCACACACGCACACTCACACGCACATACATACACACACACAGACAGACATACACACACACAAACACACACGCACACACACACACAATGGTTGGTCTGAAACTACAAAGAGTTTGGCTACCTTGAACTCAGAGACCCAGCTGCCGGCCTCAATTACAGTCCAGATTGGAAAGCTGCACCAGATTGTTAATGCCTTTTTGTTTTGTTTTATTTGAGATAAGATCTCCAAATGTGACCCATGAGGGTCTCAAACTTGCTATGGAGCCTTGGACTCATGATATTCCTCCCAAGAATTGGAATTACATTGGCGCAGCATTGCACGTGTCTGTCTTCCTCCAGACAGCTGAAGTTTGGGCAGCAGCACAATACTTTAGAGTACGGTGGTCCTGGGTGCAGCCGAATAGCACAGGACTTGGCTGGCGTGTGAAAGCCCCAGCTCTACCTCTGCACACATACAGACATACAAAACAAAACCAACAACCAAAACAAAACCCCTAAACAGAAACTGAATGGGGGTGGGGGGAGAATATGACAAAATGAGAAAGCCCTGACCTAGTTGCCTCAGTAAATGGAAGAACACAAAGATGAGACAGGAGAATACCCTAAAAGATGTCCTGAACAAACCACTCTGCCATTCCTGAAATAATTGCTGTGTCAGCTGCCTAGAGCTATGCTGTGAAAGTTAGCACTCAGCAGAAGGGTGGGGGTGGGCGTGACCTCCAAGCTCCCTCAGTTCCTCAGCCTGAAGTCTTTCAGGTGTTGGATCATGGCAAAGGTTTGCTGCCTTGTCTCACAAACAAGTCTGTTTCCTGCAGTGAGAGCGGGGAGCATGAGAGGGGACCATGGGGCAACAAGCAGAGGGACAACCAATCTCTTCATCAAAGGCTCTCAAGGTGGCCACCATGCAACCACACTGAGAACCAAGTCCTGCTCTTCTATAATGTACATTTCCCGTCCTGCCAAGATCATGGATCACTTTGGGACAGAGTTGGGGGCTCAGAAGGATCCTTCACCAGCTAAGTGGTCAAGCCTAGCTAGGTGGGGTCCTGGAAGCTTGAGGGGGTACACTGTAGTGGCTGGTCCGGATGGTAGAGTGTCTGGTGAAGCAGAGTACAGACTGCAGGGAGATCTTCAGGATCTGAAGGCCAAGAAGAGACTGGTAAGAGGCTGTCAGGCCTCCCGGTACAGGACCGCCGGCTTTGCTGACACTCACCCACACCCAGCTCCTGCAGTAGACTGTGATACTCAGGTTCAGTCTCCAGCAGCTTCAGAAGATTAGTGGACTCCATCCGCTCCAGCTGCACCTCCCAGTACACGTAGATCTTCTGATTGAAAGTGACATATACCAAGCAGGGACTGTTGCGGCCCTCTTTGCAGGCGTACTGTCCTGGGAGTCGGGGAGCAAGAAGAGAAAGGTCAAGGCTTAGTCCTGGTATCAAGAGGAAGGCAGGAACAAGACATCAGTCTTCTTATCTTAGTGATGTTCTGGAATAAAAGACACAGCTGTGCGAACGCACAGGGTAGGTAACAAAATGACCAGAGAGGAAGACTTTTCTTGGCCTGTCCTTTCCTTCCAGGGCACACATCAACCTTTCAGGTACCTGGGGTGTTTTCCAACTCCTTCCATTTACTGTGGGTGCTGGAGGCCAAGCCCACAGCTTTGTACATGCTAGCTCTGCCACCAAGCTACACCCTCAGCTCATTGTCATGTTAGTGGCCAGATACATTCCTGTCACTCAAACAGCCACAGTTGAGGACTGCGGGGATACCCTGAAAGCATTTTCTTCAGCCTGGCATGCTCAGGTGGAAATGTCTTCCCAGTCATCCCGTTCTTTATACATTTAAAGATGGAAGCCTCACTGTGCTTTACTTCTCATTCCAAACTACCATGCTAGGGCTGGAGAGATGGCTCAGTACACTGGCTGCCCTTTCAGAAGACCGGGGTTCAATTCCTAACATCCACAAGGTAGCCAGCCATTGTCTGTAACTCTAGTCCTGGGGACATGATGCCCTCTTCTGGCCTCTGTGGGTACTGTACAGACATGGTGCATAGATGTACATCCAGGCAAACACTCAGACACAAAAGAATAAATAAAAAATTCACCCTAAATTAAAAAACAAAGTGTCAAGATGGTAGCATGGTGCCCATCCATCACCCTCTATTGAAAGCTAGGGAACCTATTCGTGTATGAAGACATCTATCAAGGGCTGCACTGAACAGAAGTGAGTCGATCACTTCCCGGCACGTTCACTAAGCTGGAGTAGCTAAGCTCAGAGGCCACCGTCCCACCTGCACAGAAGGCGCGGATATTTTCATCCACTTGGAAGCGCACAACAGTGCGGTTGTGATCAATGATATATGTCTGTCCGTCCCAGGCACATGCTACCACCTCCTCGAGCCCATTGCCCTGAAAAAGATCAAAGACAGGATGCCAGAAGGGTCAGGAGCCATTTTAACAAGAGACTGGCCAGATGTAGTGTCATACATCTGTAATCTCAGTGCTGCAGAGGCAGAGGCCAGAGGCAGAAGCCAGCTTGTGCTACACAGCACATAGCAAGATCTTGTGTCAGAAAAGAAAAGAAACAAGAAAAAAGATCTGATGGTGGGGTGGGGGCAGGAAGACATAAAGCACCATGAACTTGACTCTGGGTGGCAAACTACAAATGAGGGTATTCTCCATGTGCCGAGTGGTCAACGGGGCAATCAATAATTTACTTTGCCTAGTATTCAAAGCACCACTATGATGGCGACATTATTCTCAGTTTATCTGGGAAATTTCTGCTAAGAGGGATAAACTCACTTGTCAAGATCACAAGTAGGGAGCAGAAGCAAAGCCCAAGAACAGGTCTGTTCTGGTCAAAGCCACCCAGCTTGCACCACGGTAGTAAAACCAGTGTAGGCCCATCTAGCAAGTGAGGGCTGCAGTGATATCAAACAGACTCACGGACAGGGAAGAGCACTACAGGACACACGGCTATATTCATGACTAGTACCCCACTGCTGGACCTAGGGCCTGTGTTTTGTTAGGGCTACTATTTTGGCTGAAAGGCCTGGAAATGATTTTCTAGTCTCATAGAAAAGTACTAAATTGTGTGCTATGAGGGCACACTTGAGTGTAATAGACACACTCACTTCAGGTCTGAGAAAAGGGCTGAGTGCTGACCGGGATGTGAGAACAGCTGATTTAAATGTCTACCCATGGGGTGGGCTGGAATGATGGCTCAGCAGTGAAGAACACTGGTGTGTCTTCCAGAGCACCTGGGTTTGATTCCCCGCATCCACAAAGTGGCTAACAACTATCTGTAAATCCGCTTCAAGGGGGTCTGATGCTCTCTCCTGGCCTCCATGGGCACTAGGCACACATGTGGCACACAGACACATGCAGGCAAAACATGAACATAGACAAATGAATCTCAAAAAACGGAAAAAGTCCACTCACCGTGACATCCAGCTTCTCCAGGGCAAAGAGCTGGTGGTCCACCTGCACGGACCACAGCAGTTTATCTGCTTCCTGCATCAGCTTCAGGGTCCCTAGATGAAGAGAGGTGGGGGGTATGTGTGTGTGTGTGTGTGTGCGTGCGTGCATGAGTGTGTGTGTGCTCGTGACTGTGTGTATGTGTATGCACATGTGCACAAGTATGTGAATGTATGTGTGCATGTGTGTGAGTGTATGTGTGGGTGGGAGTGTGCATGAGTGTGTGTGAGTGTATGAGAGTATGTGAGTGTACGTGTTTCTGAGTGTGTGAGTGTGCGTGTGTCTGGACCTTTGAGCAGACCCCTCAGGCAGATCCCCACCTCACCCAGCCCAGGATTACTCACCATCTAGGGTGCACAGGGCAAAGAGGCCTGCGTCACCACCTTCAGGGTTATGACCTATGTGGGGAATGGAGGCAGGAATGAGGGCAGGGCTCTGGGTCTCCCTTCTCCCAGAACTGCGTGTTCCTTCAGCTCCTTCCCTCCCTTACCTTGTTTGATGTTGCCAATGAGATGAGTGGAAACGTTCTTATTGTGGATCCGGCCTGATGTCTGGTGCAGTACTACATCTCGGGCAGCTGGGGTCTCCCTGTGGGTAAAAGAGACTGGACCAACGGAAAGCCAAGGAAGCTGAGTTCTCTGGGCTGTCTATCCAGCATCTCTGCAGGAGCTTCCTCAATTTCAGAAACCCACCCCTGACTCTTTCAGACCCTTGTAGCACACGGCAGGCAGGGGAGTGATGGGGCTGCCAGCAGGACTCTGACTGGTCAATCTCTGCAAAGACTGGTTCACGGTGCCAAATGCTCTAAGGTTAAAAGCACAGGACTCCCATCCCTTAAACAGCCTTTTCTAATGCGGCAGAGTGCTTGGGCTGGGGCTTAGATGGTAGATCCTAGCACCTGCAGACCTGTCTCACCACTAGGCCACCATGTCCTTATGCTGATGCACCCGCCACCCATCCCCTTACCTACTGTCTCCTGCGGCCTCCTCAGAGGCAGGAGGGGAGGCAGTGTCCTTGTTCCAAGTGCATAACAGTACTGCATAAGCACACCCTGGCTGCGACACAACCAGCTCAGGCACACCCAGAGGCCCCGGGGTCACAGAGAGACTGTCTACCTGCACCAGAGAACAAAGTCTTAACGGAGAACAGAGCAGGAAGGAAGGGAGTCTCTGCCACCAGGAACAGGGAAGATATAGGCAGGGCTTCTGAGACTTGCCCTCCAGCTTAGATGGGGACAGGAGTTCTAAGGTTTGTGAGTGCTTGTCTGGCACCATTTCCTCCACAGTCAATCTGCTTTCTGCTGGGTGCCCGCTGGCTCCAGGCCTGGTTCACACCACACACCTCACACATTGAACTCTTAGTCCACCATTCCTTGCACTCTGGACCTGTTACTAGAGCTCCACTGGGACCTCATAAAAAAATGAGCCAGATCTCTCTCAGCAAGGCCATCCTCCTTTCTTCCCAGATCGCCCACTTTCCATAAGTCTTTTCTGTTCACTGTTCTCACCTGACCCTCCAGCATCCACTTCTTGAGGGACACCAACTGCCCTGCCAGGTGTTCAGGCCCCTCAGCCAGCTCTTCCCAGCGGAAGGCCCGCACCACACGGTCTGTGTATCCTACCACCAGCTCATAACATCCATCTCCATCTGTAGACACAGAAACACAATGGATTTGGAGCCAAACCTCAACTGGTCAGCTTGAGCCCATGGCCTGCACTCCAGGCACTTTCAAGTGAGTGCAGCTTCACCTCCAGGCTTCTGAGGCACTCAGCACAGCCTATGGTTGCTATGGTTGCTATGTTGCTATGGTTGCTGCCCACCCTGCCTGGCCTTGTGCTCATGCAGCTTCTCACCGAATTGCTTGGGGCCCCATCATCTCAGCCCCAGCTTCCTGTATCCATGCCACAGCCCTTGACCCATTCCGCACACCTCCTCCCTACATGGCCTCTGACCCATCAGAGCCCCATGTCTCCACCGCTCACTCTGTGGCTACTGTCGGCTCTTTACCAAATGCTACCTTCCAGCAAGAATGTGCGTGACAACTCCATTTAAGGTTGCTACTTCTCAGGTCTGGCTCAGAAGTTAGGAGTACTGTTGTTCTTCCAGACAACCCCAGTTGGGTTCCCAATACCCATGTCAAGTAGCATGTTAAGTAGCTCACAACTTCCTGAAATCCCACAGGGTATTTGACCTTCAGTTATGTACACACACAACCACACATAATTAAGTCTTTAAAATTGCTGTCTCTGCCTTGACACCTCCAGCCCTGTGATTTATTTTGTCCACAGTACTTACTACTCTCTAATATAGTATTGATTTTTGGCAGTGTTCTAATCCTGAGCCAAATTCCCAGGCTCGTTATTTAATTTTCTTATAAAATTTGCTCTGTCTCTTCTTAGTATGATTTTTCTTTTGCTTGCTTCGTTCATTTTATAATTCTAGAACCTACAGCAGTTCCTAGCTTATAACAGCAGCTCAGTAACTATGCATCAAACATACAACAAGTGAAGATAAAGTAAAGACAAAGTTCAAAGAGATAAAGTAAGACACACAGCACATGTACACGATGGAGCCAGCGCTCCCTGGCACAGTCCCCTGAGTACCCGCTGGCCCCTACTCCTTGGCTGCTCATGCCCACCGATGTCGCTGATCAGCATGACCTTTGTGTTGGCCGGGATGTGCTGCTTGAAGACAGGTCGCTGCTCCTCTCCAAGTGTCTCGTGGTGTCCAGAAGCATCCAGAGCCTTGGTCAGGTCAAACAAGTGAAGCCAGCCTTCTGCGCTGACTGCTACCACCAGGTTCTGGGAGAGGCAGAGGCACAGGAGAGACACATGGGTTGGGGAGAGCTTCTCAGAGCAGACGGCAAGGGCCGTTCTGACGTTCCCTGGGAGCCGCAATGGGCAAGGCCTTGGAGCTCTATCCTCACCCGAGTCCTTACCTTTCCTTTATTACAGACATCTCCGACCCCAACGCAAGTCAACTGTAAGACAGAAAGGGAGCAAGAGAGACCACTCATCTCTAAGCTTCCAAAGCATTCACGAAAGCCTGTGTCATGTGACCTGTATAAATCGTCTTTATTAAAAGACAGACACACTGAGCTGTACAGTTTGATTTGTCCATACAGCAATATGGAGACTCAAGGAGGTAAAAACTCAGATTTAGGCAAAAAAAAAAAAAAAGTAAAAATTTAAAAGAAAAAAATTTTTTTCTGATGTGTGGTGCACATCTATACTCCTCCAGGACCCAGGAAGCTGAGTCAGAAGGACTGCTGTGAATTCCAGGCCAACAGGGCTATATGGTAAGACCCTGTCTTATAAGACCACCCCCTCCAAAAAAAAAAACCCACCAAACAGAAAAATAGCCTGATTATCATATTTCTAGATTATTCCAATTATTACTCTATTTTTTTATTACACAGACATATACTGTATAAGGACATTTTAGCTAACAGCACATCACATATATGGTGGTGGACCTATAAGTTCCCATCACATTGCTGGGCATCCATGAAGAGGCTGAGGCAGGAGGACTGAGAGTTTGAAGCTAGCCTGAGCTATGAAACAAGACCTCACCTCACAAAACTAAGGTAAAACAGTGGCTGTCTTACTTTATATAAATGCTGTGGTCACCTGATGATCAAAGAACCCAACAATGCATTTCTCAGAACATGTCCTTGCTGTTAACAATGCATGGCTGCACTGCATACCATCAGACAATCTCAGGCAGCTGCCATACAGTAGCAAGCTCGTTCTATGACATTAGGACAATTATCTTTTTTTCCCGTCAAATTGAGACAAGCTAGAGTTATATGGGGAGAGAAAGCTCAAGTGAGAACATGCCTCCGTCAGATTGCTTGTAGGCAACTTCTTGACCAATGACTGATTCGGGAGGGCATAGCCCTGGGCAGGTAGTTCTGGGTTGTATGGGAAAGCAGGCCAGTAAGTGCCTCCATGTTCTCTGCATGAATTTGTGCCTCCAGGTTCCCACCTCAAGATTTTGCCTTGTTTTCAGACTTTGCAACAGACTATAAACTGTGAGCTGTAATATACCCCTTCCTTCCTGAGTTGTTTTTGGTCATGGCCTTTATCATGGCAACAGAAAGCAAACTCCCAAAACTAGTCTTGTTGGAGAGTTGAAAGGGGAGCAGAGCAAATGAGAACAATTCCTCAAGTTAACCCCCACCCCACATGAGACAGTGATCCAATGAGTTGCCTGGGGATTCACTGTGGGACTCCTCCTTGGCATCCAACACAAAGGTATCCTATCTCCTCCCCAAGACCGGCAGGAATGAATACTGACCATTCCCTGGCACGCACAGGTAAGCCATGGCCGGCTGTCATCATTCTTATACACAGACAGTTTTCCGCTGGTGTCTCCCACTACTAGTTCATTTAACTGCAAATGGAGAGAGCAATGTTAGGAAGGATTTCAGCTCGGCAGTCTCTGGAAAAACCCTAACAGTTACATTTGAATATGGGCTGCAGGTGGAGCTCAGTTGATAATGTGCTTTGCCTAACATGCATGAGGCCCTGGGCTCTCCAGCCCCACAGGAGCCAGGCATGGTTGCTGGGTATGGTGGTATAGCCTCTAATCCCCCTCCCCCAACCCCTCCAGAGGACAAGGCAGGAGGATCACTGTGAGTTCAAGGCCAGTCTGGTCTACAGACTGTTTCAGGACAATCAGGGCTACATAGTGTCTCAAAAAAAAAAAAAAAAAAAACAAACAAAAACAAACACCAACAAGGAAAAATAGGCTCTGAGGCACACAACAGTCATCTTAGCACTGGAGGAGAAGGCAATGTGTCAGAAGTTCAAGGACATAGCATATTTAAGCCTTTACATCAAGGCTTTGAGAGGTACAGTAGATGCGCCTGTTATCCTAGCACTCAGAAGACTGAGGCCAGAGGATAACAAGTTCAAGGCCAGACTGAGTTAAACAGCAAGAACAAGTTTCAGGAAAAACACATCTTTTGAGACTGTTGGTTGCCTGTAGGCAGGAGGTGGCTCAGTAGCAGAGCATTTGTCTAGCACAGGTGAAGAAGCAAAAGAGAACCAACAACAAACAGATCTTTTGGAAGCAACACAGACATAGTTTTCCAGGACTTACGTGTGTGTGTGTGTGTGTGTGTGTGTGTGTGTGTGTGTGTTCTACACAAGAGCAGTGATTTAGGTAAGCCAGCTGTCTGCATAGCTCTGCCCACATGCCTAGCCTTGGCTATTCTCACTTGTTCATTACAAATGGGATATGTTTTTTTTGGGGGGGGTTCTTTGTTTTTTAATTGGATATTTTATTTATTTACATTTCAGATGTTATTCTCATTCTCCACCCCTACCCCCACAAACCCCCTATCCCATTCCTCGTCCTCCTTTTTGCTTTTATACCATTTTAATTATATGCAAGTATTAAGGTCAGTTCTAGGTTGAGGAACTAGCAATACAATAGATGCAAATAGTCAAGGAACAAGCAAAACTATAAACACAAATAGTCAAAGAACAAGCAAGGCAATAAACAAAGTCCCATGATCACACCCGTGATCATTATTTCTTATATTTTTGGTTGTAAGCCTAGCCTTTAATGAGTGAGCCATCTTTCCAACCTGTGATCACTATTTCTTTCTTTTTTTTATTGTAACTTTTTTTTAAATGTTAATCAAAGGCTTTACAAGTTTGTTAATGCTCAATAACAAGATGTCCATACAATCAGAAGTGTAACCCCATACCCAACCTAGATATACCGACTACCTTTGACTGGCGGAGACACATGAACATTCGCTTCCATGTTCCTCCCCCCCCACCCCCCTCATCTCCTAGCTCCTTCTCTCCTTCTCCTCCTCCTCCTCCTCCTCCTCCTCCTCCTCCTCCTCCTCCTCCTCACTCCTTTTCCTCTCCTTACTCCTCCCACCTTAGCTCCTCCTACATATCACCCTTCCTGTTAAAATAAAAAAATAAAAAACCTTTTCTTTCAAAATACAATTAGAGTATAACTATACCAATTTGTATCAGTAAGGTACAAGATAGACCTAAAACCCAGTCCATCATTTTGTTGACTAAACAGAACCTCTTTCATCTCTCTTAACTAAAAGACTTAGTTCTGAACCTGGCTTTTTTTCTTGGCTTTAGAATGAATGTCAGCTGAAAACCATCCTCTCAAATCTTTTCTCTCAAAATAAATAGCTGGGATTGGCTATGAGACTGTAAGTCTTCAACCCTGTCAGAAATCCAGAACAACTGAATTAACTGAAATTATGGGAAGCACAAAGCATAGCTTCTAAAACTTAGCCAATTTATAGAGACGGCTGAACACCCAGACAGTCCCTATACTACAAAACATTGGAGCATCCAATTTTCAGCCTTCTGGGCCATGATCATCTGACAGACCTAGTAATGCAGAATTATTAAGGGCTGATTACACTGTCTTGGCAGATATAATCAGTCAACTATTCCGAAAGTGTGTCCTTTTCTGGACAGTAATTTGTCTGTAGATGAAAAAAGGCCATTCTTGCCTAGTGGCTGTCTCACCACAACTAGAGTGACTCCAAAGATGCTCAATTTCTTCTTAGAAGCCAAGACAGGGAAGCTGTCAGGAACAGATAGGTCTCTAATCATTGGTACGAGTTTCTTACTGATATGAAAGTGAGATTAATATTGTTACTCTCATAGGCATTGTGCCTATATAACACATTTAGGAATACAAGGCTTAGACCCAGTCCTTTAACTTTTTCAACTTATTTGAGATGGTTAGCCTCTGAGTTAAGGGCCTATAGAAATTCATGGCTCTTGAGTTTACTGTTAGGGTGTTTTCTATATTTTATTTAGAAATAGCTGAAAGGAGTTAACAGACAACAGTCCAGATTGCCTTATATGGATAGTTGGTTTTCAAAACGTCAGAAGTCCACAGAATTGACGTTACAAACATTTCTGTATTAAGGTTCAAATGGGATATGTTTTGAAAACAGCCCAATAGTGAACTTCTGAAGGATATCACCTCAGATGTCATATTTTGTCAGAGGTAAAAAGTACAAAGCCAGTTCCCAGGGCCCCATCTCTTCCTATAAGATCCCTCTGTTTTAATGATTTTAAAATTAGGAACACAGAGGAATGGCCCTGCCTGAGGGACAGGCCTGAAGATATTGTTGGTATCAGCATCCTGACTCTGGGCGTGGGAGGACCCCTTCTGAGAGCTTCTCCCCCACCACTAATCCAAACAGCTATCCATCTGGGGAGCTCTCATGATAACCAGTTGGCTCCAAACCCTGTTTCTACAGTTTCCTGGTCTTCTCTGGAAAAGAAGATAATATTTCCCATAAAGAGAAGAAATTAAAGTTGGACTCTTAAGAGATCCCTTATTATTATAAGGAAGACTGATGGGGGTGACACAGGTCTGTTAAACCCGGCTACTTGAGACCTGCCCAAAACAGAAGAAATCTGAGAGAAACTGGGATTGACATAATGATTTGACTTTTTTTTTTTTAAAGATTTATTTATTTTGTGTATATGAGTACACTGTTACTCTCTTCAGACATATCAGAAGAGGGCATCAGATCCCATTAGAGATGGATGTGAGCCACCATGTGGTTACTGGGAATTGAACTCAGGATCTCTGGAAGAGCAGTCAGTGCTCTTAACCGCTGAGCCATCTCTCCAGCCCCATGATTTGACTTTTAAAAATTTATTTATGGGCTGGAGAGATGGCTCAGTGGTTAAGAGCACTGACTGTACTTCCAGAGGTCCTGAGTTCAAATCCCAGCAACCACATGGTGGCTCACAACCATCTGTAATGAGATCTGATGCCCTCTTCTGGTGTGTCTGAAGACAGCTACAGTGTATTCATATATAATAAATAAATAAATCTTTAAAAAAAAATTATTTATAAGTTATGGGAGTTTTGTGTAAGAGTATTAGGTTATACAAAAAAAAAACCAAGCAAACAAGAAGGCAGTGTCAGGTCATAGAAGTGTACATTATGCTTATTTATGGCATCTCATAGCTGAGGTCTCAATTATAGCCACCTGAGAGGACTTCTGTAGACACCATGGAGAGAGGTCACACAGTGTAAGGGTTTAGAGTGTAACTGCTGAATTTCAACACAGCTCATTCCCCTCTCCCCTTTTCTTTCTTTCTCTCTCTCTCTCTCTCAATCTCTCCTCCTCCCTTTCTGTGTATCCCTGGCTATTCTGGAAGACCAGGTTGGCCTCGAACTCAGTTCCACCTGCCTCTGCCTCCCAAGTGCTAGGATTAAAGATGTATGCTACCATGACGGACCAATCTCTCTCAATCAATCTCTCTCTCTCTCTTTCTCTCTCTCTCTCTCTCCCTCCCTCCCTCCCTCTCAAAAAGATTTATTTTTAGTTTATGTATATGAGTGTTTTGCCTACATGTATGTCTGGGTACCACGTGCACTCTTGGTGTCCTCAGAGGTCAGAAGAGGCTGTCAGAGCCCTGGAACTGAAGTTAGAAACAGTTGTGAGACACCCTGGGTGCTAGGAATCAAACTGGGGTCCTCTAGAAGAGCAGCCAATACTCTAAAGCATCAAGCAATCTCTCCAACCTTGATTTCATTTTTCCTAAAAATTTTAAGGCAGAAATTTGTGGGTCATATCCATGTAGGGGTGTAAATCTTCCTTCTTTTCTGGATTATTCAGAAAAGTGCAACTTTTCCTTCTTTTTCTGCCTTCTCTAAGCATGCTTTCTTCAACACTTTGGGCCTATAAAAGGTATTTCAGGATTCCTTATGTTTCTCTAAGACTTCTCTCACCACCTCATAGCTGCTTGGGAGTCTATCTTGTTTTTGATAAAACAGTATGGCCTTTTCCTTCTCTCTCCCTTTCTCCACCTCAGGCAACTGCTGATATTTGACAGCTTGCCTGCTGGGAAGTTTTAAGTTCTAATAAAATTGTCCTTGTGCTTACAAAACAAATATTTTTAAAGTTACAGATATTTGTTTGCTTATTTTATGTGTCTGTACTCACGTGTATATGCCACGTGTTGTGTGTGTATATATACAGTACAACTTGCAAGAATCAGCTCTTGGACTAGAGAGATGGCTCAGCAGTTAAGAGTACTGACTGCTCTTCCAGAGGTCCTGAGTTCAAATCCCAGCAACCACATGGTGGCTGACAACCATCTGTAATGAGATCTGATGCCCTCTTATGGGGTGTCTAAAGACAGCTACTTACTAATAATAAATGAATAAACTTTTAAAAAGGATCAGCTCTTTTCTTCTATCCTGTGGGTCCTAGAGACCATACTCAGATCCCCAGACTTGGTGGCAAGCCCCTTTATCTGCTGTCCCTGTTTGTTTTTTCATGTATAAAATGCTGAAAGGAGCCTACAATGGTGTGCATGCTTACAATCCCAGCACCCAGAGGGTCAGGAAGGAGGGGAGGGCTGCAAATTCCAGCTCAGCCTGGGGTGAGTACACTGTGAGACTTTATCAAAGAAAGAAAAATTAGAAATGAAAGAAAATGCTCAGCCAGCTCTCCAGTTTCCAGGCAGCCCGTCTTGTTGAGAAGGATTTCTCAGCTTTGCGAAGCCACAGACACAGGAAAAGAATCATAAAACAGCATGGGAAGCACACTGAGCAAGCAGATGTGACTCAGCTAGACAGTCTGAGGCAACATGTGGGAGCGGACGCTTCCCAGGCAGCTGTCTGCCTTCTAGCACTTGAATGCTTCTCATCAGACCTGCTGCTCTGACAGGCCTCACCCAGTCACACAGTAATGGTGAAGACCCTCAGAGTGGAGGGGTCCACCATGATTAAGGAGTGCTGAAGGAGAAAGGTGCAGTCTTTCTGTGATCTGCTTCAGCCTCCCGAAGGCTTGCTGTGCTGCATCCAGTCAGGGTTCTGTGGGTGGTTCAAAAGCAAGTTTCATTCCTGGCTTCTCCCTTTGCCTCAGCAGGAAGTAAATCAGCTTCAAAGAACTTTAGGCTAAGGGTTTATCAAGTTGAAATCACTCTTTGTCCCCATTCGCAAAGCTCAGATTGCCTAGGGACTACTAATCATGTTTTATGGGTAGGTTTGAGACAGTGTTTCACTCTGTAGCCTTGGGTGGCCTGGAATCTGCCCTGTAGATCAGGCTGAACTTGCAGTGACACTCCTGCCTCTGCGTCCTGAGTGCTGGGACGACAGATGTGTACCACCATGTTTAGCAACAATCCCCCCCAAATCCCTTCTTTTAGAATGGCCGTGGGGAAAGAATGCAAGGCCTCACACATTCTAGACGAGTGCCCTTCCACAGGGCTACACTCTCAGACTATATCTGCAGTCATATGGACCATGCGGTACAGCTGACCACTTGTTAACTAGTCAATTTTCTCAACTTCTTCCACCGCCCCCCAAATGCAAAGCTCTTCAGGTGGCTTTGAAACAATCACATTTACACTGTCCTTTAGATAGCACTGGATAGACACTTCCACTATTCCACTACAATACTTTGCTTTTCACACTTGCCTTTAATAACTATTTTAAATTAAAAACCTGAGTTTGATTCCTGGACATAACTCATGTGATGGATGAGAGGACCAACTCTTGCAAGTTGTCCTTTGACTTCTACACCTGCCTGTGGCATGTGTGTGTGTGTGTGCGTGCGCGTGCGCGCGCGCGCGCGAGCTCTCTCGGGGAGGGAGGACATGCACACATAAAATATTTGCATATGCAAATAAAGCAAGTATAATTTACAAATTATTGAGTGTGGGGGATGAAGTGGTTTAAAGGGGGGCTTAGTGGTTTAGAACACTTTCTATTCTTGCAGAGTACTCAGGCTTGGTTCCCAACATCCATATGACAGCTCACAACCATCTGTAACTCCAGAGTTCCCAACTTAGGCAAGAAAAATAAGGACAGTATAAATGACAGTTGAACCTCTGTATCTGTGAGGCATTGATCATAGGAACTCTGTGAATACTCAAATCAAGTTCCTTCCATCAAACATACAGTAGCATTTGCACATAACCTATGTACATATTAATTCCTTTTGTTGTTGTTGTTGTTGTTTTTTTGTTTTGTTTTTCAAGAGATGGTTTCTGGGTAGCTCTGGTTGTCCTGGAACTTGCTCTGTAGATGAGGCTACACTAAAACTCAGATATCTGCCTGCCTTTGCCTTCCAAATGCTGGGACTAAAGGCATGCACCATCACATCCAGCTTAATTCTTTTTTTAAAAAAAATTATTTATTTATTTTCTGTATATGAGTACATTGTAGCTGTCTTCAGACACACCAGAAGAGAGCATCAGATCCCATTACAGATGGTTGTGAGCCACCATGTGGTTGCTGGGAATTGACCTCAGAACCTCTGGAAGAGCAGTCAGTGCTCTTAACCACTGAGCCATCTCTCCAGCCCCCAGCGTAATTCTTATTCTTTTATTTATTTTTGTGGTACTGTGAATTCAATTCAGGGCTTTGTTCATGGTCAGACAAGTGTTTGGTAGCTACATCCCCAGGCTGCTATCATATACTTTAAATTGTCTTGAGGGCTAAATACAGACCCATAGTGCATACATATACTTTGGTCAATGGTGGGCTCCTTATCGTGGGATAAATACATTCAGGTTCATGTAAACGTACACTATAATGTTAGGACAACAAAGTAACCCACCAATGCGTTCCTCAAGTAATCCCTTTGTTAGGTTATGCAGGACTGTAGCTGCTGTACTGTATGTACTATTTAGGTAATGGTGTCAAGAAATGAAATCTGAACATATTAGGTACAGTCCCAGGTTTTTTTGTTGTTGTTGTTGTTTAGGTTTTTGTTTTTTTAAAATATTTCCTATGGTAGGTCTGGTGGGTTGGGAGGGCTGCTAAAACAGTTAACACTAACAGTTCCAGAGCCTTAACTGTGTGCCTGGTATTGCTCCACCTGCTTAATGTGCATTTATTTATTTAAATGAGAAAAGGAACGACTGCCTAGGAAAGAAAAAATGTAGGTGGAAATTGCTTTTGTATTTCAACAATGAGGTGGCACTACAAAGTCGCCGGACACATGAGTCAATTCTGGGTAGGTACAGTAGAAGCCCCACATGGTCAACACTGATTGTGGGGTATCTGCGGTAGGTTGGAGGCAGCAGAGATATCTACCGGTAGATTCCAGTGTACGAGCCAAGGGCAATAGTAGCCGATAGTGTGGGCAAGCATGGTAGCACGGGGGGAGGGGGGCTAAGCCATAGGTAGAGGGATATTATTAAATGCGATTTACAGGTTTTAAAAAAGTGGGCTTTGAAATATTTGCAAGGGAATTGCGACTACGAAACGAAATAGGCTTTTACAACCTCCTACCCTGACAAGTCACTGAACTGTGCAAGATAACAACTATCTATCCTCTTAAAACAGTAATAAAAATAAAATATGGCTGGAGAGATGACTCAGCGATTACGACACTAACTGCTTTCCAGAGGAAAAAGGTTCAATTCCCAGCACCCACGTGGCAGCTCACAAGTGTTTCTAACTCCAGTTCTAGGGGATCCAACGTTGTTCCTCTTCTGGCTTCCATGGGCACTGCCTGCACTCGGTACATAGACATACATGCAAGCAAAACACTCTACACATAAAATTTAAATCTAAAACAAAAAATAACTACTAGAGGTTCCGGCCCAACTAAGCCGCCTGGAGTTATGGTCTGGGACCGATACTGTCAATCAAAACTTTCTCATCCGCGCGCCATGTTGACTCCAGTGCGCAAGCGCGCCACACGCCACTTTCCCACGTCTAGCCCCGCCCAATGCAGTCGTTTGCAGTGCGCATGCACTCACCGCGTCGTTATCCACGTCCCCGAGGCAGATGGCGTGCGGGAAGAGACTCCCGCTGAAGTCCAGCGCCACGCGCTGCACATAACTAACCGACCTCATGGCACTCTGGAGGGCTGAGGTGTCGGGGCCACCGCACCAAAACGACCCCCGAGCCCTCGAGACAGCCGTGCGCGCGTCAGGCCACCGAACCGGAAGTCTACGTCACCGTTTGAGCTTTGAGTTCCGGCTTTCTTCACTTAACTTAAAGAAGGAGGCGGGTCTTCCGTGCCAGGAGCCGACCAGACCTTTGGTGCTTGACCCTCGACTCTGAAGGGAATTCAAACCATCTCTCGAGTCATAGTAATAGCTGTCATAATTAACAACTTTGTTTTCCAACAATTTTTATGAAATTACCCAATAGAGTTGTCAACACAATGTAGTGGATTATAACTCACATTAAAACAAACAAAAAACAACTTAAGACGCCAGAAAGAGCTCAGCAATTAAGGACACTGGCTGCTCTTGCAGACGACCCAGGGTAGAATCCTAGCCCCAACATGATGCTCGCACCCACCCAATCCTAGCTGAAGCCAGACACCCTCTTCTGGCTTCCCCGGCACCTACTTGACGCACAGATACACATGTAGCAGAAAAGCCGCCACAAAGATTTTAAGAATATGAAAACAGAAAAAGATCTAAGTAGTAAATAGTATTATTTTGTGAAAGCCTTGTTTCGGTTGTTTATACTTACATATATATCCTGGTTTTTAATGAAAAAAATTATGCTGTGTACTTTGTGGGCAGTAACTTAAAAAAATATCTATTGCAAAGCACACCTTAAATGTATTAACCAACGAAATTATGTAAAGATTTTTGTTTCTTCAGATGAGGAAAACACGTTCATCAAGATCGAGTAACTTGGCAGAAAGTGGTAGATGTGAGGTTCAAACCAAGATGTCTGATATAAAATGTTAGCTCTTTTGTCACTACTGCAGTTTCTACGGGAGTGAAGGCTGCTGGGACTCTGGATATGCCGTAGGGTGTACCCCTCACTCTCAGCACAAAGCTGCCTGTTTCCAGTGATCTTATTCTAGTTTAGGTGGGGCTATTACTCTCATGACAGGCTGCCTGGAATACTTTCCCTGTTGAACCAGGTTCTGCCTTTCTTCTGAGATGTGACATCAAGGCAATGGGAGTGTTAAGCTACATGTGGTACTGCTTGCCTGTAACTCCAGCACATGGGAGGCACAGGCAGGAGGATCAAGAAATCAGTATGAGCCTTGGCTATGTAATTCTATGTCAGCTTTGGTTACATGAGACCCTGTCTCCAACAAAACGCCAATAAAAACAAAAGACACTCAATAGAAATTCAAGCTGAGGGCCGAGTGCTTGGTTAGCATGTGTGAAGTCCTGGGTTCCATCCTTAGCAATGCATAAACCAGGTGAAGCACTCATACCTGTAGTCTTGGCACTAGGGAGGCAGAGGCAGGAGTATCAACAGTTCAGGATTATCCTCAATTACACGCAGTCTGAGGCCAGCCTGAAATACACTGAGATTCTCCTAAGGGGGAATCTTTTAGTTTTAAATGTGCAAGCTCAAGCTGATCTACATACACTTGGTTTCTCATCTTCGGGGATGTTGGACCAGAAGATGTCCCACGTTCTGTCGAAGGGGCTTTCTACCCTAGAGGAGGTTAAAATGGTGGACTTGGTCTTAGTGGCTCTGACAGCTCAAAGTAGAAAGGAATAAGGCAATCAGGAAGGAGTTCCGGACCAGTACTGGGGACTGCAGATCCATTCCCAGTTACCAGTTCCTATTAGGTGGTGAGCTGTATCCATTAGGTCTAAGTCACATGGGTACACCTGGTGCTATAAACTGTTATTCATGGAGGGGTTGTATGCTCTCTCACCTGCTGTCTACTCTTGTCCTATTAAGGAGAAAACAGACCAACTTTAAAGTGTTTGTGCTTGAATATAATATGTAATTTATGTTTCATTGTACTTAGCTGTTTTCTCTTTGTAGCTTTCTGAACACAACTGTAAGATAAATATCTTAATTCTTAGGACTGAGTAGAGAGATCAGCCTGCTTCTCTCACTGTCCACTCTGCTCTGACCCAATTCTTTGAAATCACATCCTGACCCAGAACTCCACAATACCTTTTTTGTTTGTTTGTTTGTCTTTTGAGACAGTTTCTCCAGTAATCCTGCAACTAGCGCTGTGGAACAGGCTGGTCTTGAACTCACAAAGATCGGCCTGCCTCTGCCTCCCAAGTTCTGGGCATAACACCACCACCGACCAGCACCTTAATCATCATTTGGGGTTCTTGTTCTGGAATTTTCAGCGGCAGTATCTGGTTTTGTTCTATACAACCGTTTATCATGAAGGCTGTTACTTCAATCACAACTTTTATTAGTCAAGAGAGCCAAATAAAGTTAAAAAGGAAAAAGACTCAACAGAGCATAAACTATTATGTGTATTGTCTGTGCACATGTATATGTGAGTGTGCTTGACCATGAGGGCACATGTGAAACCAGAGGTTGATATGTCTTCCACAACTGCTACTCCATCTTGTTGACACATGGTTTCTCACTGAACCTAGAGCTCACCATTTCAGCTGGTCTGCCTGGCCAGTGAGTAAACTATGCTGTCCCCTTGCTCCAGGGTGCTAGAGATCTGAACCCAGATCCTCATGCCTGTGCATGAATTCTTGGGAGTACATTGTTCATGGTAATAAAACATGACTGCTCCCTGCATAGCTATATGGCTGGATCCCTTTTTCTAGCAATGATTTACTTGTAAGAATATCTTCTCTAGTTCTTAGTGTTGTTGCTGTTCTTTTTCTCTTCTGTTGAAATGGGACATACAACTCATCTGCAGATGCCCTAAGGAGGATGTCACAGATGCGCTGAAGTAGGCAAGGTAAGTCCACCAGGCCTTGCAGGCTTTGTGGGACACTGTGACAGATATTCAGTGGACACACTGGGACCAAAGTGCCTGTTTTAAGAGCAGGTTAGAGGTGAACAGTGATGTGGGGGCCAGTGGAGAAGGAAGGTATGTAGAGGGAGAAACATCTCATACACTGGAGATTGGAAATATTTTGGCAACATAATAGCTTTCCCAGAGAGGAACTACCTAGAAATCTACATTACTAGCCCAGAACAACTGTTGCTGCACTTTCTCATCTGAGCATGTTCCTTCCATAAATGCTGAAGAAAGGACAAGAACCTATAGAACAATGTGAGCAGGGACCCAGCAGCGTTCAGTATGTGGCAGGATTCTTTCTAGCCATAAAGATCTAGTTACTTAATCCAAGTATCTTCACTAGACAGTTTTAATGTTACAATAAACTAGGACCTTTCCATCCCCAGGGCTCTATAAAGAGGAGTCAAACTTAAGTTCTTAGAATCCAAAGGAGCACTCAGGAGATGAACAAGATTTTAGGATGCTTTTTATCCATGCATTATAGATAAGAAGAGTTAAGCCTGAGACTTGCTGTGAATCTCATGACCTCATAGTAGTTTAGGTTGGTTCACAGAACTTATCTTCAAGTAGAAATTTGGTTGACATTTAAAACCTTTTCCTTTTTTGAAATAGTATTACATAAGCTCAGGCTGGCCTTGAACTTATGCAGCTGAGGATTACCTTAAACTCCTGATCCCTCTGCCTGTACCTCCAGAATGCTGGGATTACAAATATGGCCCATCATGTATGGTTCATGTGGTACTGGGAGTCTGACACAGTACTTCATAGTTCATGCCCAGATTTACTTATGTGTAATGTCTGTGTGGGGGCAATGGGTACCCAGGTGGCAGTGAAAACCAGAAGAGGGCATTGGTTCCCCTGGAGCTGGAGGCTAGGAGCACTTGCTCTTAGAGGACCTGGATTTAGTTCCTGGGTACCCACACTGGTGGCTCACAATAAACTTGGGACTTACATCCTCTTCTGCCATCCACAGGTACTCAACACATATGCATGCACTTTGCTTTTAAAAGACTCTCATTATGTAGCCCTGGAATCACTATGAAGACCAGGCTAGACTTGAACTCAGGGACTCTCCTTGCCTTTGCCTGAGTGTTGGATTAAAAGTATGTGCCACTATGCCTGGCATAAAAATACGTCTTTAAAAGAAAATACAACTGTGTCTGAATATCTGAGTGTTCATATGAGCACCAAGTGTGTGCAGTGCCTGTGGAGTGCACAAGATGTTACAACATCCTCCTGCGACTTGAGCTGCCTGGGCCAGGGCTTGGGAACCAACTGTAGGGCTTCAGTAAGAACAAGTGCTCCTAACTACAACGCTGTCTCTCCAGGCCCAGCACCCAGCTTTTGATATGGGATCCGAAGCAGGCCCACACTTGTGCAGTCTATAGTCTAGTGACTGGGCTGTTTCTCAAGCTTTGGTTGTTTCCTCATCTGTAAAATGGGCCATGACTTTCTTAGGATGGTTGGATCGACATTGTATCACAGGGAATCCTTGGTACAGGTCAAAGCTTACACTGCTAATCACTTAGCAATTTAGCAAGGGCTTGGTATTATCACTGAGAGCAAAAGCAAGAATCAAAGTTAGAAACTACCTAAAGGAACCAGACATAAAACTCAAGCCCAAGCCTGGACTTAATACCCAATAGGCAAACAGGCAGACACAGTGCTAGCCATGTTGAAGAACTGAGAGACCTTTTCCATAGAAACTCTCTATAATGTCAAGAGGTAGAGAGGAATGTAGACTACCCCAGTCTTATTTGGAGACCAAGCTGGCTTTGACAAGAGGTCCACCTGACCCTGATTTCAGAGTGCTGGTATTAAAGATGTGTGACACAAAGCCCAGCCTAACGCTGGAGTTTTTATACCTTTGGCCAAGGACCCAGGTATGATTCTAGGCACCCAACTAGTGACTCACAATTGTAACTCCAGTCGCAGGGGACTCGATGCCCTGTTCTGATCTCCACGTGCACCAGGAATGCATATGGTGCTTAGATACACATGCAGCTACAAAATGCCAGATGTCTGCCAGAGCAGAGAGGCAGTAGTAGTACAAGAATCCAGTTTCAGAACCACTGATGTTTATATTTTCCTCTTCTTATTTGGGGAAAACAACCCCAGCGCTGTTCTGTTGGGCTACTGCAGTCTACAATGAAGCTCAGGATGTATAAGCAGAGGGGCCGGTTCTTGCCTTGCCAGAGTCTGCATATCATGTTACACTTAGATTGGACCTGAGTGGAC